ATATAATGACTGCTTCCTGCTTATCGAGCCTGGCCACCTTTCGACAGGCCGTAAGCCACAAACTGCAATGTCTGCTCCCTGCATTCAACGTAAACTGTAGATATTCATTAAGGAAAAAACGCCTCTTCATAGAACCTCGCTATGTTATAGGTTTCACATCGCGCTTGGTCATTAAATGAAAAAAAAAAAATGTCTTATACTTTAAAAATCAAATGAGTAAAAAGGTCCAGCAATTAGTTGTTTGTGAAATTTGTATCAATTTGTTATTATTTTCTCAAAAATCAAACCAGTCTCAGTTAAAGTGGCACGCATGCTGGAGGCGATGCAATTGACCTCTTGGTCACTGCTTTTTATGAGCTCAGTGACTGACAATTTGTTGTGAAAATGAGCCTTAAAATAATCTACATGCACATTAGCAAATTCACTGAGTTTGTCATTCGCAATATTAGAGTTTTAGATATTATTACTGTCTAGTGGACCATTCCTCAAGTACTTTTTTGCATTAGTTACTGATCGAAAAAGACAAAACTTGGGACTAAAAAAACTCTCACGAAAGGGGGTCTGCAATCTAAATGGAAATTGAAACTGATTAATTTATATTAACCCACCATCCCCCCACCCAGCACACACCCGCGCATATATTTGCACTACTGAGATTACTTGTTCATCACAATATTCTCATCAACCTAGAGAGGTTAATTGATCACCAACAACCTTTATCAAGTCGTTGAAAGGGGAACAACTACAGACATTCTTGCTACAAAACGCTTCGAGACGGAAAATTATTTGTTTGCAAAATTTGTCTAACGATCGGGGATAGAGACCAGAGGCTGCTCGTTCAAAGCCTGTTAGYCCCAATCAATTTTCCTAGTAAGTTGGCGATTGCAAATTGCCGTAAGTTTATGGGATAGATATCAAAAATGAGGGCGCATCGAATAAACTGATACTATATGATTATTTATGAATCCTTTTTTTTTTCTTAATTCAATTTTATTCAAAGGCTCATATTTTTTTCTGAAATGATGTCATGTCATTGCCGTCCTGGCACAAATTTCTATTTAGAATTTTTGCACACATTTCAAATTCTAGACTGAATACAACCCTATATTACCCTATATAACTTTAATTAACCAATTAGACAGACGAAAATGGTTCTACAACTTTTAGCTTCAAYTTAGAKTTTGTTTCCAATCAAACTGACAGCCTTGTTTATAGCCTTGCTTGTTAGTGATGTCCAAGCTTTGATGGTGCAGCTTCACAGTACCTGGCCACTGCTGATTCGTACTGTTCATAAAACTTGCCTGGTTCTGCTTCCTTTAGTATCTCAATGCGATGGTCTCCAAAATGAAATTTTGGCATATTAACTGCATTGGCTGGCTTTCTGGACCTAAAGACATTATACAATTAAAMGATGAGTGTTTGCAAACAACGAAAATCTTAATAAAAATAAATAAATAATTTTAAGTGATGCTACTAATTGCGCGGGATGATAGTCAAAAGTCATCTCTATAAACTKTGCATGAATATGTTGGTATTCAGACAAGCAATGTCATCTTATGTAGTCTCTTATGTGTCAGTAAATCTAAACTTTTTGAGTTCACTTTTTACCAAACAACATGCCCTACCTGTAAGTAGTTCGCAGATGGCTCGTCAAATGGTTACCATCAGTGCATTTCAGGGCCATCAAAGACTGCCCACACAGGACTCCGTCACGTGGATAAAGCATCTCTACGCATGGTTCCCATCCGGCTGTTTTCTTCTGCATCACGGGACCATTGGCAGGGAAGTTGGCACCGATGACTTTAACCTTGAAAATAAAGCTATCTCCCTGTATGCTTAAATTGAAGAGAGAAAAAGAAATTTATTCAGATTTTCTATACTTTAATTGAGGGGCTACTTGTGTTGGTCAAGTAATTATCGAAAGGGAAGTTATTGCTATATGACACTGTAAATATTGCTCATTACCAAATCGTAAAAAGAGGACGCCCTCTACTCTACCTTGTGTCCTGGTGAATGGTAAGATAGCCTCCATCCTCGTAGATTTGGGTTCTTTCCCAAGTGAATCCTTCAGGTAAAGAATCCTTGAAGTAATCTGGAATCCCTGAGGCATGCTTGATGAAGGTTTTACTTCCATACATGCAACAAGGTGCCAAAATATCGTACGCAAATGGTAAGGGACCTCCTTCAGTGATTCTTATCTTTTCCACCTGGGTACCTCTAAATATGAAAATAAATAAAAACCCATGAATTTGTTTAATGGCTTTTATCTGTACCCTATATTTCGAACTCACTTGAAGTTAGAATACACTTTAGAACTAACAAGAGACTGCTGTCATGTTAAAGG